CAGGAAGCTGACCCCAACCCAGCCTGAAGGTTGAGGGAAGGACCAGAAAGCAGGTCCCTGTTCAGATACGGGTTGAGGGGTCGACAAGCACACCAGCTCCAGCTAAGACTGCAAACAGAGGGGTGGACCAGCAGGCTGGCCCAGCACAGCCTGGAGGCTGAGGAAGTCGACTTGCAGGCTGGCCCCAGCTAGGGCTGGAGGCTGACAGGGTGGAATGGCAGCCTGGACCCAGCTGAGCCCGGAGGCTGAGGAATTGACCAGAAAGCAGGACCTTGCTCAGTCTTGGGGTTGAGGGGTCGACCAGCACACCAGCTCCAGCTGAGCTGAAAAGTGTGGGGTGGACCATCAGGCTGGCACGGCACAGTCTGGATGCTAGGAGGTTGAGTGGCAGGCTGGCCCCTGGAGGCAGAGAAGGTCAAGTGGCAGGCTGGCACCGCTCAGCCTGGAGAATAAAAAGGTCAAGCGGCAGGCAGGCCCCTGCTCAGCCTGGAGGTTAGGAGGTCTAGCGGCTGGCCAGCCCCAGCTCAGCCTGGAGTCTGAGGAGGTTGTGTGACAGGGCGGCCCCAACTGAGCCTAGAGGCTGAGGGATGGACCAGCAATCAGGCCCCCATTCATTCTTGGGGTGAAGGGTTGACCAGCACACCAGCTCCAGTTGAGCCTGGAAACAGAGGGGTGGACCAGCCAGCCGGCACAGCATAGCCTGGAGGCTGAGGTCGAGGGACAGGCCAGCCCCTGCTCAACCTGGAGGTTGATTAGTTGAGGGCCAGGACAGACCCTGCTCAGCCTGGAGGCTGAGGACATAGAGCAGCAGAACGGCACCTGCTCATCTGGAAGCAGATGGGTGGAGCAGCAACCGTCCCTTCTCAGCCTGGAGGCTGAGGTGTTGGAGCACAAAGCCAGACCCAGCTCGTCCTGGAGGCTGAGGTGGTCAAGGGGCAGGCCGGACCCAACTCAGCCTGGAGGCTGAGGGATGGGCCAGCAAGCAGGCTCCTGCTAAGCCTAGGGTTGAAGGGTTGACCAGCATACCCACTCCAGCTGAGCCAGCAAACACTGGGGTGGGCCAGCAGGTCAATCCAGCACAGCCTGGACACTAGGATGTCGACCTGTAGGACAGCCCAGGTCAGCATGCTGGCTGATGAGTTCAGTCTTCAGGCAACTCCAGCTCAGCTTGCAGGCTGAGGGGGTCAGTGGCAGGCCGGCCCCAGCTGAGCCTGGAGACTGAGGAGTGGACCAGCAAGCAGGTCCCTGCATGGCCTCAGGGTAGAAGCATCGACAAGCATACCTGCACTAGCCAAGCCTGCAAATACTGGGGTGGACAAGCAGGCTGACCCAGCGTGACACAGAGGCTGAAGAAGTCGACCTGCATGCCGGCCCCAGCTCAGCCTGCGGCTGATGAGCTCAAGATTCAGGCCGGCCCCAGCTCAGCTTGGAGGCTGAGGGAGTCAAGCTGCAGGCCTGCCCTAGCTAAGCCTGGAGGCTGAGGGGGTCAAGCGGCAGACTGGCCCCAGGTCAGCCTGGATACTGAGGGGGTCGAGTGGAAGGCTAGCTCCAGCTGAGCCTAAGGGCTGAGGGATGGACCAGCTAGCAGGCCCCTGCTTCGCCTTGGGGATGAAGGGTCGACCAGCACACCTGCTCCAGCTGAGCCTGCAAACACTGGGGTGGACCAGCAGGCCAACCCAGCACAGCCTGGAGGCTGATGAGTTCGACCTTCAGGCCTGCCCCAGCTGAGCTTGGAGGCTGAGGGCATCAAGCGGCAGGCTGGCCCCAGCTCAGTCTGGAGGCTGAGGGGGTCAAGGATCAAGCAGCCCCCACTCAGCCTCGGGGTTGAGTGTCAACCAGCACACCGGCTACAGGTGAGCCTGTAAATTGTAGGGGGGACCAGCAGGCTAGCACAGCACAGCCTGGAGGCTGAGGATGTTGAGCAGCAGGCCTGCCCCATCTCAGCCTGGAGGCCTAGGTCGAGGCTTAGGCCAGCCCCCGCTCAACCTGGAGGTTGATTTGTTAGGGGGCAGGCCGGACCCTGCTCAGCCTGGAGGCTGAGGACATCAAGCAGCAGAATCTGGAGGCAGATGGGTCAAGCAGCAACCAGCCCCTCTCAGCCTGGACACTGAGGAGTTGGAGCGTAATGCCAGACCCAGCGTAGCCTGAAGGCTGAGGGGTTGGGCCAGCAGCAGGCCCATACTTAGCCTCAGTGATGAAGGGTCAACCATCACACCTACTCTTGCTAAGCCTGAAAACACTGGGTGGACCAGCAGGCCGTCCCAGCAGGGCCTGAGGCTGAGGAAGTCAACCTGCAGCCTGGTCCCAGGTCAGCTTGCAGGCTGTGAGTTCAACCTTCAGGCCAGCTCCAGCTCAGACTGGAGGCTGATGAGATCGAGATTTCAGGCCGGCCCCAGCTCAGCTTGGAGGCTGAGGGGGTCGAGTGGCAGGCTGGCCCCAGTTCAGCCTTGAGCCTAGGGATGGACCAGCAAGGGGCCCCTGTTCATCCTCGAGTTCAAGGGGTTGACAAGCACACGGGCTCCAGCTGAGCCTGGAAACAGAAGGGTGGATCAACAGGCGGGCCCAGAACAGCCTGGAGGCTGAATGGGTCGAGCAGCAGGTCAGCCCTAGCTCAGCCTCGAGGCTGAGGACGTGGAGTGGCAGGCCGGACCCAGCTCAGCTTGGAGGTGGAGAGGTTGAGTGGCAGGCTGTCCCCAGCTCAGACTCGTGGCTGAGCAGTCAATCAGCAGGCCAGTCCCAGCTCATCCTGGAAGCTCAGAGGGTCGAGCTGCTGCCTGGCCCCAGCTCAGCCTGGAGGCTGAGAAGGTCAAGGAGCAGGCTGGCGCCTTCTCACCCTGGAGGTTGAGAGCTCGAGCAGCAACCCACCCCCAACTCAGGCTGGTGGCTGAGGGGATTGAGCGGCAGGCAGGCCCCTGCTCAGCCTGGAGTCCAAGAGCTCAAGCAGCAGGCCAGTCTCAGCTCATCCTGGAGGCTGAGGTTTCAATCTGTAGTCCAGCCTCATTTTAGCCTCTAGGCTCTGGAGTTCTGCCAGCAGGCCAGCTCCTGTTCAGCCCTCTAGGCTCTGGAGGTTGATCAGCAGTCTGGCCCCACCTAAATCTGGAGGCTGAGTAGGTCGAGCTGCAGGCCAACCCCAGCCCAGCCTTGAGGATCAGGAGTTCATCTGGCAGGCAGGCCCCAGCCCTGCCTGAAGGCTGAGGAGGTAGACTGGCAGACCATCCCTGTCCCTTCCTGGCAGCTGAGGAGGTCTACCAGCAGGGTGGCTCCAGCTCTGCCTGGAGGCTGATGAGTCCGTCCAGCAGGGTGGCCCCAGACCAGCCTGGAGGCTGTGGATTTTGACCGGCAGACTGGCCCCAGCCCATCCTTGAAGCTGGGGAGATCGACCAGCACCAGCCCCAGCCCAGCCTGGAGTCTGATGAAGTCTCCTGGCAGGCCAGCCACAGCCCAGCCTAGAGTGTCTGGAGGTCAACCAGCAGGCTGGCCCCAGACTAGCTCGAGGTTCAGGAGGTGGATCAGCAGGCCAGCCCTAACAGCCTCTAGGTTCAAGAGTTCGACCAGCAGGCCTGCCCTGGGGTCATCCTGGATGTTCTGGGGTTGACCATCAGGCCTACTCAGGCTCACCCTGCAGGTCAAGGAGGCTGAACCTGAAGGCTGCAAAAGTCGACTAGCAGTTCGGCCTAGGTCTCAGCCTGCGTGCTATCAAGGTTCCAGTTCTGTGGCCATGCTTGAACTTCTTTTTTGAAATCCTCAGGACAGCCATAGGTAACTCTCACACCCCACTTTCCATGTCAGACATCATCAATACCACCTACATGGTCAAATTAGCAGCTACTTGGTCTACCTTCAATTGGCACTGCATCCCACAGAAATTAAGCCACTTTGATGAGTTTTGATTAAAGTAATTTTGATGTCATGCATTTCATGAAGTCTAAGCATCCCCAGTCTCACTGGCCATGGGATCCTCATGCCCTACAATGAACCCAACTTGGGTTCATTGTCCTGGGATTGTTCTTGATGCCAGGGCTTTTCCTTCAGGCTTCATGTGGAGTAACCACAGAAAAATCTCAAGAGGTTTGAGTGAACTGCCTATAACTGTTTTCAATGAGTTGAAAGGGGTAAAGACAAGGAGAGATCCAGGGTGGGAGGAACTTGAGGAGGGGCTGTTCCCAGAGCTCAAGCTGAGCTTCCTACCATGCTGAGGGTTTTGCTACTGCCTCTACTGTTGTCACCACTGACCCCACAGCTGCCAGTGACCCCCAATATCTGGTAAGAGGCACAAAAGAAGCAGGAACTTCTTCCTTTTGGAAATGCCAGAAAAAAGGAGAAAAAGATTACTCAGTGGCACCTTCCCTTTGTTAATGGAAATAATCACACTATGAAGTGAACTCAAAGTTTAATGAAAGAGATATTTGTTAGAGAGGCTATTCAGAGTCAAACTGAGGACCCAGACCTGGGGGGGGGGACCCTCATCATCAGACTCTTCTGAGTAACAGTACCCCCATCAGAGGTTGGGTCTAGGTTTATACAGGTAAGTTACATACACAGACAGAATGTAATAGTGTCCTTTAACAAAGAACAGAAGACATCTAGTGCGTTTCTGACATTCAGTTCACTAAAGAATTTGGTTTCCAGAATTTTTGGAAACCAAAAATAAAGGAGAAGCACTGCTCATCACTTCAAAATGATCCTTTGCTCTTACAAAGTCAATTCAGTCAGACGATGTGAGTTTGGGAAGATGTAAGGACCAAAGATTATTTGAATCTCTTATTCTGAGATTTCCCATGGACATGAGGGTGCCATAAGGCCATTATCTCATGCTCCTTCTTTCTACATCTCATAAGCTTGACAGGGGTGGGCTGGAACCAAGGACTTTTCATCACAAGGTTTCTTCCCAGCAAGCAATGCCATTGTCATGCTGACTAGCCTCTGGAGCAGCCCTGTCAGGGTGGAAGAGATATTCATGACAGAACAAAATGCAGAATTCTCTTTTTGTTCTTTTTTAGACTACTCTTTGCTGGCACCTTCCATGTTTTCTCTGGAACCCCTTTGGCTGCATCAACTACAACCAGGTGAAAAGGGAGCGTGGCTGGCAGAGGTGGCAGAGGACAAGAGGATGCAGGAGTGCAGGGTGGAGGGAAGAGAAATTGCAAGTGATGTTCACTGTGCTTCACAGCTTGGACTCTTACAACAAAATCAACTACACTTGAAATCCAGCTGTAACCAGCTAAGGTGAGTGGGCACTTGAACTTTCTGAAACTCAATTTCCCCATCAGTGAGTTAGAAAACTGTAACATCTACTTCACAGGGTTTTTTTAATGAGTGTAGGGGGAGCAGTATGTCCTGAATGAACTCCACCCACAGATGTCTTATGGACTCTACCCCCCACCTCCATGCCAAAGAGATCCCAGATGCTGAGGATTACAAATCCCATCATGCCATGAATCTGCCATGACTTGATTTCTTGAAGAGGGGGTTGCTGGGAACTAGGGGTGGAGTTAAGCAGCCAGGCTTGGTAGAAAACTGAACACATGTGTGCCTGCACTCTCTTGGTTTTGCCTGACTTCAGCATGCTTTTGGGGTCCCAGCTCAGATAACTTTACCTGTAGGATGCATTGACCAATTAATCTCTTTTTCTCTTTCTGGGTTTCCTCATCTTTTTCATTTCCCTTGTAAATAAACCTTTTATTTAGCCTTCCATGTGTGCCTGCACTTGGGTCTTGTTCCAAGTTTTTTTTTAAGCACACGGGTGAGGACTCACACCCAGACCTTCCCATTTCCTTTTGAGGTTGTCCTGTAACATGATTAAGCTGTGAGATAAACTATGTAAAAGTGCGTAACATAGAGCCTGGCATTTAACATGGTCCATATTTTACTCATGATCTTAACCTAGTGCCTGGGTCCTTCCGGATTTGATACCTGTATAGCTGTGAATCACTCCTTAAGTGAAATGAACAGCTTGGGACTGGCAGGTGAAGTAGAAAGAGGGTCTGGCTGCTGGGAAGGAGCCCTAGGGAAGAACTGAGATGGAAAGAGAGGCTCTGATTTTATCTGAGTGTTCTGGGCTGTGTACTTGGCTGAGAGCATGTTTCAATGGCAAATAGATCATAGTTCAGGGCCCTAAATGTGCCTTATAACTCCTGGATAATGTTTCCTCTGGCAATAGCACCTTTGGTCTAGTTTCCCTTTGACAAGCTCACTCTTAGCACTGCTCAGACACAAGAAACCGACTGGGGCAGCAGACTCTGTACCCTGTGCTCAGCAGTTAAAAGGGTTCAAACCAGAGAAAATGGCTTCAAACTGGTTCTGACCATATAAATCTAGTTCAAACTGGTTCTGATTGGACAAACTGCTTCAAACTGGATAAAGCTGGTTCTGACCAGTTCTGATCAGATAAAACCAGTTCTGACCAGATCAAGCCAGCTCAAATTGTTTCTGAGCAGGCAAAAACAGTTCTGACCTGAAGGGGCAGGGAAGAACCCCTGCCTTTGAGTGAACCAACTCCTCCTCCCAGGGGGATGTGCAAATTGATAGCTTGGAAAGAGCTTGTGTAGGTTGAGAGTCCCCCACATTTTACAGATGGAGACACCAAGTAGGAGCAATCACCACACGTATCCACTACTATCTAAGTTTCTCTAATCAGCCTCCAGAGATTTCTCCATCCTTTAGCACCCCTGAGGCCCTATAAGAACCTGTGGTCTGGCTAGACAGATCTTATTGTCATTTCCATTAATGGAGGTCCAGAGAGGAATAACCAGTTGGGGTTAAAGTGAAAGCAAGAGGGAGAACTGCAACTAGACTAGAGATCCCCTTGCTCTAGTCTAGTCTGGGCAGGGGTGGAGGAGATAGGAAACCTGCCCAGCAGATGGAGAGGAGATGGGAAACCAGAACGCCCCCATCCTGTGAGCAGCCACCTCCTGTGCAATCCAGTCCCTGCCAAGCCCTGGTCACCCTGATCCTCTGCTTTCTCCACCCCTGGTCTCACCATGGAGCAGCTGCTGAAAAAAAAAAAAAAAACCACGCCTTGCTGAGCACCCACCTGGAATCACCTCCTGAGTCCTCATCCTGCCTTACTTTGAGGCACCCACCCACACTGATTCAGAAGACTTCCTCTGACCCCTCCCCAAGGGAGCTAAGCATTCTGAGGTATATTTGGGCACATCTCATGACAGAGTTTTCCTGCTGTGGGTCCTCATGGCTAAGGGGGTGTCCCTGTCACCCAGCATATTAACTCAGCAAAGAGATGGTCAATATTCTTGAGTGAATGAGAAAGTGAGTGAATTAATGACTGAATGAACAAATAGCAGCATCTCTAGGGCACCTGAGCAACCGAGATTTATGCCACTATGTCTGACCCCACTGAAGTCAGCCTTCTACCACATCAACAGGTCTCTAAACTGCACACCCCACCACCCCAAGGCACTCAATGCCACCCACCCCACCATCCATCACACAAGTGTCTCCATACACCAGGACATCCTCCTGCCAGGGAAATTCCTCACTTAGCAGGAGGTTCCTACTCCAGTTAAATAAAGGTTGAAGAACAGAGTGAAATGCTATTATAATATGACATAATTCCTTGAAAATGTCCCTCTGTAGAATAGATTTTTCCCAGCTGGACTCCAGGGCTCATTCCGAAGCACTCGAATGACTGCCTGTTCACAGATGACAGCAACCGCAGGAGGTGGCCATTTTGACAGATGAATTTGTTGCACCCCTACGCTCAATCCAGGTCTGAGTCTCCAGAGAAATGAAATTCTCTGACATCAGTCGAGTTTCCCAAACCTCATCTGGTTGTGATGTACCTGGGGCTGCATGTGAGATGTTCTCAGTGTACATAGGATTCCCTGGGGACTCAAATTCAGCACCCTGGTCCAGCAATGAACTGAGGCCACACACACTGCGGGCACATCAGACCCAGGACTGAGCCTGAATCCAGATGTTTTAAAGATCCTACAATCTACAAACTGATGTGTTCTTTAAGAAGGCAGTGCAGAACACATCCCACCAACTGTGAAATGGAAGGAAAAGGCCTCTTTGGAAGAGAAGCAGATGTTTGGCCCAAGCTGAGCAAAACCTGGAGAGGCACTGAGATCCAGACCCTGCAAGAAAAGGAACACAGTTAGCAACTTTTGATTATGTTAATGATAGCAGGAATTATTCATATCAATCTCACAGCAATTATATTAGTGGAGAGAGCAGTTATAAATCCATGTTCTAACAGTGACTATAATGAGTACTGTAATAGGAAGCTGAAGGCAAATTGTATCTAGTAGATTAATCAAAAAGAAATTTAAATGGAGAATTACAAGTGCATCATTGTCCTGTGTGCAATTACAAAACAATGGCTATGATGTTAGAGCAATCAGGGAGGAGAATTCACGTGACTCGGGCTGCCGATGGAGGAGGTCCCCTCCGGTAGATGTTCAATATCCTGTGAGGCTCAGAAAATGAAATGGTGTTTCCAAAATCTCAGAGAAGTGGAGCCTAGACTCAAACTCAGTTGTGTCTGACACCAAAAATCAATTTACTGATCAAAGTTGATGGACTTGGAGTATTTGTCATGATGGTTCCTTGCTTCCCTTGCCCAGTGAGACTGGGCACAAGAGTGGCTCAGTGCAGAGGGTGTGGCCACCCAGGGTGAGGGTGGGCTGATGGACTACATAAAATATAGAACAAGGAAATATGGCTTGCAAGGCTGGAAGGCAGGGTTATCTTGCAAACATTTCGTGATCTGAGCCAGCTCTCTCAACTCCATAAACTGTCAGTTCCAGGTAGAAATAAAACATGATAACTCAATAAAGTTATCGATTATGAGTTTAGGCGGCCACTTCTATGTTGGATCCCTTAGGTCCCTCATCTATAAAATGCAGGTGAAAGTGCATGTGGGCAAGGGTAGAGATTAAATTGGTTGATTCCTAAGGCCCTTTCAGGTCTCACATTGTTGGGGTTAGGACTTCCTCACCTTAAAATAAAATAGCAATGGAATCTTCCTTGGCGAGTTACTACAATATGGTTTGTAAAATACTGAATGCCAGATACTATTGGTCTTTTAAATCTTAGTCATTTGAGGGGCCTCCCTGGTGACACAGGGTTTAAAGACAGTGCTATCAAGCTATCACCAGCCACTGCAGCACAAATTTAATCCCCGGCTGGCCAGGGAACAATCTACATGGTGCAGCAACCTCTCCTGCCTCACCCACTGCTCCTCTTAGCCATGTATTTTGGTAGATCTGCCTGTTCTGCTCCCCACTCTCTCTGGTGATTCCTTTCACCCCCTGCAACTCTGGCCTACACTCCAGTTCTTGTATGCATAAATAAATAAATCTTTAAAAAAATAAATCTTAGTCATTTGAGAGATCAGTCTTCCCCAAAGGAGTTCAGTTAGACTTTCCCTAAGGTGCCCAAGGTAAGGCTTTTCCACTCTGTGTCACCTTTGTACATGAACCTAAGGTTAATAGAGCCCTGTAGGTCTCAGATAAATGGTTACCATTACTTAATGAATGCATATTACCTAGATTTAGGGATATGTCCAGAAACAAGTTGTGTTATTGGTTTTTGTTTGTTTGTTTTTGTTTGTAAAATCAGAGAAACCTGTCGTAAGGCAGGACTAATGTGCAGAGGCAAGGTTTTGTCATATGAAGTCATTCCCTCCTTGCATGTAAAAAACTCTCCTCTCTCTCTGATGCCCCAGGTCCCTTAACACAGAATATAAACTTCTGATTTGCCCCATTTTACTTTAGCATTTATAGCCATGTGAATTCTCCATACATCTGTTACTAAGTTTGGTCTTTTTTCTTCTACTAATGTGTCTGATGTGAATTTGTTCATTTCTCCAATCTCAGAAGAAATTCCCCCAGAGGGATGGGGGAATTTTACCCTGTGCCCCAACACACTTTAGTAGGTGAATTTTAATATTTTACTGTGGTTTTGATATGCATTTTCCAAATGACTACTATTGTAAAGTATATTTTCATATACTTATTTGCCATCTGCTTTGATATATTTGCTTTGATGAGGTATTTGTGTTGCCCTTTTAAAAACTGGGTTGTTTGTTTTCTTATACTGAGTTTTAAGAGTTCTTTATACCTGTTATGGATGCATGCCAGCTAGCAAACATAGGATTTGCAAATATTTTCTTTCAGTCTGTGGCATCTTTTCATTCTCTTAAAAGGTGTCTTTCAAAGAAAAGAATTTTTTATTTTGATGAAGTCTGATTTATCAGTTTGTTC